CGCGAGCCAGCGTGTTGAGCAGGCCCCAGGCAGCGCTGCCAGGCGGATCGAGCCGGGCCCTGCCCGACAGCCCCTTCTGCCTGCAGAGCTCAGCTGCGTAATTCCCGAAATGGCTTTCCTGGGTGTTTGGCGTCAGTGTCGCTGCGGTTGCCCAAGGTGCTCTTAGAGAACCATTTCCAGCCTATCCACGTTGTTTCTTCACCATGTGTTTGTACTAAAAATAGTTGCCAAGTGAAGGGATAATCCTGCCAGGCCCTGAGCATCCCCATCTCTGCTCTCCCGGAGCAGCAATGCCGCTCCTCCTCCGGCCTCCCGGGCCAAACGGACCCCTTTGTGTGGGTGTGCCGAGGCACCAGCCCTTGAAAGCTCCAGAGGGGAGCCCCACGGGGCTGGGGCTGGCCGTGGGCGCGGGGGTTGTGCAGGGGCCGCTGCCCTCCAGCCTCTCCTGCTCCCGGCAGCCGAGCAGGCCTGAGAGGCTGCCGTGCTCCTGCAGGGACATCGTTTAATACCTTCCGGCTCGCTGTGATAATCTTTAACTGGGGGCAGCTGGGACAAGCGTTTACCTCTTCATTTTCTTAGATATAAATGCTATCTCACCGCAGTTTCATTTTACAATATGGTAATATGCTATCCAGGAAAGTCTTACTACATGCTAATTTATCCAGTAGGCAAATTCCTTTTGGCTAATAAAAGTGCTTGCACAGGAAGCTCAAAACCCAGCAGCAATTAATTATTGACAGAGCATGTGAATTAGAGATAAAAGAAAAGTCATTCTTTCTCACACACAAGATAGTAAATAAATTTAATTATTGTACTAGAAGCAAGGGATCTTATTCTGTATTAAGTTTTATTAGCCGAGACATTTAAAAGCATGTCATCATAACAAAAAGGTCTTGTGTAATCCTAACTGCAGCGCTCTGGTACGCGGCTCTGAAGTGAATAGGCTTAATTGAGCAAATGGAAGCAGCTGGCTGGCGGAGCAGACAGGTATCGTACAGCTTTATTGTCAATTAGCTGTTGTCTACATATGCTGACGGCGACCCAGCAGTATAACGCGGTACCGGGGCTGATCTCACGCTTCAGGTGCCCACCACGTCCAGGGGCTGAGAAGAAACAAGGCCGGCAGTGCTTGGGTCCGCAAGGCCCGTGCGTGCGGCAGCATCCCCCCTCCGGCACATCCCGCCAGCACCGGATGGGGCAGGGGGGCACCGAGGTGTCCCGGCCCCTTGCTAACCACCCCTCCTCTGCTTCTGCACAGGAACGTGATGCCCAAGACGCTGGATGGCCAGATCACCATGGCGACGAACACCAGCAACGAGGCTCCGCGGCGCATCCACTCCATGGCCAAGGACACGAAGCTGATCGTGGTGGTGAGGAACCCCGTCACCCGCGCCATCTCGGACTACACGCAGACCCTCTCCAAGAAGCCGGAGATCCCCACCTTTGAGGTGCTGGCCTTCAAGAACCGGACCCTGGGGCTGATTGACGCCTCCTGGAGCGCCATCCGCATCGGGATCTATGCCCTGCACTTGGAGAACTGGCTCCAGTACTTCCCCCTCTCCCAGATCCACTTTGTCAGTGGTGAGCGGCTCATCACTGACCCGGCCGGGGAGATGGCCAAGGTCCAGGACTTCCTGGGCCTCAAGAGGATTGTGACAGAGAAACATTTTTATTTTAATAAAACCAAGGGTTTCCCCTGTCTGAAGAAGCCGGAGGACAGCAGTGCTCCACGCTGCTTGGGCAAGTCCAAGGGTCGAACTCACCCCAGAATAGACCCAGATGTCATCCACAGACTGCGGAAGTTTTACAAACCCTTCAATGTCATGTTTTACCAAATGACGGGCCAAGACTTCCAGTGGGAGCAGGAAGAAAGTGATAAGTAGGGCCGTGAAATCAGGAAAAAAGCTCTGCTCTTCTGAGATGCAAACCATCGTTTGAGACCCGGAACTCGCTCGGGGTTAGAGGCTCGGCCCCGCGAGCGCAGGACCCTTGCGCTGTCAGGGTGGCAGCCAGAGCCGCCCCGTTTCCAGCTCTGGAACCTTAGTGGCACGTCACCTCGGGTGGCACTTGGCTCTCCCCCAGGACGCCGAGAGATCAGGGAGCGGGTGAGAGGAGGCGGCAGCGGGAGTGGGGCTCATCGGGGCCATGGGATGTTCTGTGTCGACGTGTCGCTGCTGGTGTCCCCCACGCAGGACCAGCACCTCCTGCCACGGCTAGCTGAGCCCGGGGGTGGCTCACGAAACCCAGCAGCACTGGGGCGAGCCCGTAGATTCCGTTTC